ACTCCAACAATGCTGCGTGGGTGTTAGCTTAGAGTTCACATAAACAAAATCATCCATGGCTGGAATTGCGGATAGTCGACTCACTTTTGTAACCACGACCATAACTGGCCAGCTCCGATGTAACTGGCACCAAAACATAAACCGCTGATCACAGACGTTGCCAGGACAGCAATCCAGGGGATCTGAAAACGATTCAGATGGCCGAAAAACCGGGGTGCATATCCGTCAACAGCCAAGGAATAGAGCAGTCTGGATCCAGCAAACAAAGCATGATTCGCCGCAGAGATAACGCTAGTCATAAGCACCGCGTTAATGAAACTGCCTGCAACGGCGCTGCCAGCCTGTTGGAAGACGAGGGTGAAGGGGCTGGTGGCCGTGTCTCCGTCGGACAGACCAGGGTAGTTGTATGGTACATTGAGACCAATAATGATGATAGACACAATGTAGAATAATATGATACGCCAGAAGACGTTGCGGACCACCTTGGGCATGTTCTTCGCTGGGTCCTTGGTTTCACCCGCCGTAACTGCAATAGACTCGGTGCCACCACTGATCATGTCAGCATACTTTTCTCCCAGGGATAGATAATATAACCTACAATGCAAATGAAGCCGTAACGAAGACGGATGCGAAACCACCAATACCATCAACAAAGGGTGCATCATCGACGTAAAAATATTTGTCTCCGATATATGTGTGTTCAGTGTTGCCGCCACAGTTGACTACAATGCCTAGAATAATGAAGATCTGGACATTGTTAGTATCGTGTTCGTAGGACCAGAGGGGAACAGACATATAGAAACATACTATAATAGTCACAACCTTTAGTAGACTGAGCCAGTACTCGATCTGCAATGTATCCAATATCAGCAACTGCAGGTAGAGTAATGGACTCTAGAATGCATAACCTACCTCTCCGTAAACCTTGACGGAAAACATATTCAACCCGATAACAACGACGAGGAATATCAGACTAATTGCCCATCCAGGGAAATTGTCCGTCCAGTACTGCAGCAGCAGTTGCAGAGCAATAACATCAGACGCAGTGGAGACCGCATCATTAAACCAGTAATTCCAAGTAAGGGCGAACCCTAATGCATCGTCGACAAACCGACTGAAACTAGTCAGTACTCACGGAACATCTATCATATAAGGTAGAATAACCCACCCTGCAAAAGTGCAAAAGGATCCCGCCACAGGGATGAAAGAAGCCATTTCACCCAAAGAAAGCATGGTCACAAAGACAATACCACCGCAAATGGCATAGGCGATAAGCATAGATGCCGGACCTCCAGTGGCCAGAGCTTTACCCGTTCCCAAAAACAAACCAGTTCCGATAGTACCTCCGATAGCAATCATCTGAACTTGACGTGCAGAAAGATTACGGGCGAGTTTATCCGCATTGACATATGGAGTGCTGCCGTCGAGGGGATCTGTTACCAATCCCGGAGCCTTCTGACCTGCATCTTCTTGAGGAGCCCTGCCGGGCCCCTTCTCGATATCATGGACCGCCATGATGTGCAAATTATCTGGCAATGGTCCCAACGTGGATCACTAACAAAGCACTTGAGATACCAAGTCCCTCCCTCAGCTGACCACAACCAGGGTCAGGGGATCCTGATGGAGAGGGTTAATAACCCGTCAAAGCCAAACTATGGCACTAACATGGATGTCACGTTAGCATGATAAACTAGCAGAGCACCTGCATAACAGCTAAAATCGACCTACCTGAACGCCGATTTATCAGCTACTGACTGATAGCCCTATAAAACTTCCCAATTAGGAAGGCGACCCGCCTGATTCCACGTGATGGTGAAGAAACGCGCAAAACTGCGAGGAGAGGTATCAAATCAGATATTGACTCTGCGGGGGTGGAGGAAACCAAAAGCTTCTTAAAAACCAGAAGACTCTGATTATGCCATCTCAGGGGAGTCAAGGCGAATGCAGGCCTTGTAACCTCGCGAAAACTTAGCGGATGACGTGCTCAAAAAAAATTACGTACAACTTTGAATCTGGCGCCTTTCTTGTGGTTACATCGCGGGGAGGAGGCCGGAGTAACTGCCGACCACGCTTTCCTTCTGTGGCTAGTGGAACTCCACTCTTGACATCTGCAGTTCGAGATTGAGTTTTAGCTATAAATCTTGTATTTGCTATCGATCCTTGGCCTATCGTCTATATACATACGTAGAAACTTCTTATCATGGACAAGCTTTTGATACTCCGCTAGTAGAACAAATAAAAAACACTGAAAAAGATATATCCATTGGCAATGAAAAGATTTCCCCAGGTTACACATCTCCCTAGCCAAGCAATCCAGTGGCCAAAGATTCCAAATCCTCCAAAGTCTGGATTTGCTCGGGGGCCTTTGCGGTCTGTTTCTTGCTCTTCTTGTACCAGGGTTCTTCTTTGCTCTCGTCGGGCTCTGCAATACGGACCTTCTGCTTCTTGCTGGGGCGAGGCGTGTCGTCCTCCCGGTCCGATGCAGAAAACTCGTCGTCCTCCTTGTATGGAGCCAGCTGCGCCACCGCTTCCTCGGCTTCCTCCTCGGCAAGCAACTCGCGCTCCCGAGCCTTGCGTTTCTCTTTCTTCTCCCGCCGTTTCTGTTTGGCCACCTCCTTGTCCTCCACATCGGCCGTGCGTGTCCGTTCGGTTTCCTCTGCCAAGAACCGGGCTTGTTGCTCCTTGGCATCTCCACGGGCCTTGAAGTCTTCTTCGTCCTCCATTTCGTACAACTCGTGCGCGTTGCCCTCGTCGTCGTAAACAAGTTTTGTTCCCTTTCCTTTGAACTTGAGCAGTTTCTTCTTCGACTTGAGTAGCTTCTCCCGACGTTTCGAATCGATAACCAATGTATCTTTGCCATCGAGTTGTACCACTTTAACACCCTTTTGTTCTGATTCCTCTTCAGAGGTACCACCCAGGTCCTCATCTCCAGCGTCGAAGCGACGTTTAACCGACAGGAAGTCATCATCCTCGTCCGCATCATCGGCAGCACTTGCAGTCTTACTGGGATCAACCAATGTGCCATCGTCGTTGATAAGTTTCGAATAGTGGTCGGCCAAGACGTCTTGGTTCCGCCTCTCGAACATACGGTCATACTTGGTCCGAACTTGTTTTTCATCCTTCTTAGTCTTCTTCTCACCGTCTTCATCAGAATCATCACTCGACATGTAGGCTGTAGCCCGTGATGCATTCTTGCGCTCCTTAGTGTCGTCTCCCTTGATGAACTTGATACGGGGAGCACCTGGAAGACCGAGACTGGAAGCAAAGTCATCCAACTTGAGCTCCTTCAGTTTGAAAACCTCCTTATCCTTCTGGACATAGACTGATTTAACATAGGAAATAAACGCCTTTTGTCCCAGGTACTTAAGTTCTGGGTCTTTGAAGCACATATTTTGCAACTGGTCCTTAACGCTCTGCTGCTTGTTGGCCTTGATATTGATGCGTTCGACAGGAACCTTCTTTTGCTCGAGACGCTTCAACATTCCTGATTCCTCACTAGGATCTAAAAACAACACCGCACGGCCATCACGCTCATATCGGGCTGTCCGCCCAACTCGATGAATGTAGGTGTCGGCATCTTCAGGGCAGTCCATTTGAATTACCCAGTCAACGGCGGGAAAATCCAAGCCACGAGCAGTAATATCGGTGGAAAATAGGACTGCATGTTTCGCTTGTGAGAACTTTGCTGTGATATCCAGGCGCCCGCCCTGTTTCTGTCGGCCGTGAAGATGCATCAACGGAATACCAGGTTGTAGATGGCGGAAGGATTCGTAAACAAATCGCACCTGCTTTCCGGAAGACAAGAATACAATCGTTTTGGCCTTCAAGTTACTCCGGATAAAACTCCACAGAACATCAAGCTTCTGCGATAATGGCGTAACGACGTAGTGTTGCTGAAGTGTAGATGGAGTTGCGGAAGATGCTGCCTCGTGAACAGCCACGTACTCGGGATCCTGTAAGCTCAACCGGGCAAGATCCGACACCTTCTTCGTTTGAGTAGCACTGAATAATAATGTCTGACGCTCCTTGGGTAGATGACCAACAATGGCGTCCACAGTTTTCTGGAAACCCATGTCCAAGATACGATCCGCTTCATCCAAGACCAGCATTTGAAGGTTGAACACATCGAACTGAGCCGTTTGATCCAAATGCTGCAACATACGACCCGGTGTGCAGACTAGGATATTCATTCTTCCCAGCCTTTCCTGCTCCTCCTTCAAGCTCTTCCCTCCAATAATCAAGCCGGCAGAGAATGTGTGATAGCGACCAATTTTGCGAAGGACCTCAAATATCTGAATGGCGAGTTCACGAGTTGGCGATAGAATTAGAGCGCCCAATCCATCATGTTCAGACCATTGCTTGCGGTACAAGTTCTCGAGAACCGGGATTAGAAAAGCCAGTGTCTTGCCGCTACCGGTCTTTGCGGCACCTAAGATATCCCGACCCTTCAACGCATGGCCAATCGCACGAGACTGGATATCGGTGAGAGTTTTAAAATGCGACGAAGCTAGCCCAGAGGCAGTCGGTTCAGACAAAGGGAGATCAGAAAAGGATTTGTATGTTTCCTTGATATCGAGTTCCTCAACCCGCTGGGTAAGAGTTGACATATCATCCTGCGCGCGCTTGCGTTTCAGAGTATGACGCTGGGAGGATTTCGCATTCTTGCCGTTACGGGGACCGTTTGAAGGAGCCATGGTAAGCTCGCCTGCTAGGTCGTTGAAACGTTTGTGGATTTCGTAACGACGGTCTTGATTTTTCTGAGCGCTTTTCGGGATGCGAAAGAAATCACGGGCGGTGTGATGATTACTTTTTTCTGCCGGTTACTATTCTGCTGAGTCAGCTTGCGATAAGGTGAATGGCTTATCGATGGTTATGGAGACATGCGACCATTTCTATTCTCCATGCGGAGCTTTTATTAGTAGCGTACGAATCCATTATTACTTTTGCCTACCCATTTTCAGCACCGGGATTAAGGCCGTTCCATTTACGCGTCAACAAGGATGTCTTCCGATGAGCAAGATGCCTTGGATGCCCTAGAACGGGAAGCGTCCGACTTTGTCAAGGTAACGAAAGCTCCAAACAAAGTGCTCAAAATTCGCCTGACTGACTCTAAGGCAGGACGCCGAGATTGATCGCATTAGGAAGGCATTTGCACTAGACGCGTAAGCTTAGCGCTGTTTGGCTGTCTGTACTATGTTTTAGACTAATTGTGATGGTTCTCAACAGATACGCCGTCCTCGACCTCCAACCAGGAGTTACTGAGTCCGATATCAAAGTACAATATCGCAAAAAGTCTCTACTTATCCATCCTGATAAGACAAAGAATCCAGCTGCGCCAGACGCGTTCGATCGTCTTAAAAAAGCCCACTCTGCACTAATGGAGGAGAAGTCGCGCACGTACCTCGATGAATGTATCGCAGATGCGCGACGGTTGTTGATTCGTGAACACAAGTACACATTGGATTCGCCTGAATTAAAGACAGAAGAGTTCAAGAAGGAATGGCGCCAGAAGACAGTGCATGTGTTACTAGAAGAAGAGGCGCGCCGGCGAAGACAAGCCAAGGCTAAGTTACAAGAGGAAGGCCGTGAGAGACGTAAAGAAGAGGAGGAAATTGAAGAACGAAAGCGAAAGCGAGACCAGGACAAGGCATGGGAGGACAGTCGTGATGAGCGTATCAGCAGCTGGCGAGATTGGCAGAAAGGAAAGAAGAGTGAAGGAGACAAGAAGAAGAAGAAGAAAATGAAAGTCATTGGCTGATTTGCAGGATTCGATCACTTTTCATAGACCCCTTCATCACAGTGACACAGGTTGAAGGCATCATAGCATTTGAAAATCTTTATTGTTGTGTCTTAATGGAAAACATTGTCACCAAACTTGTAAGTATTCTACAAGCAGCTTGCGATTGCCTCTGCATTTAGACTTAGACCGAGTTGGATTCAACTTTGAGACACCGATGACTTGGCATCATCCCCCGCCTGAATGGGCACATTGACTTCTTCTTCTTCTTCTGCACATTTAGATTGATGCATCTATTGCAGTGCACTATGGTGAAAGTTTCTATATCAAAGGGACAACCAGGAGGCCGAAAATTCACCTGATTTGTCAAAATGGCGAACATAGAGCAGCTCCCACCGGAATTATTTTGACCAGTGCTTGATCTGGCTTTCGAGAATCAAAGTGACATTCAATTACTCTGCAGTCTCTCTCTTCTTAGTCGCCAATGGTACGAGGCCCTAGTTCCTCGTATATATGCTCAATGGACCTACAATGGCGCGAGGCAGCCATTCAGGTCTCTTTGATATTTTCCTCAGAACTATCCTCAACGATGCCCGTCTAGCAGCCTTGGTTTTCTCCTTACATATAGGCAATTGGGGTTACTATCCACATTCATGCTCAGGTGAGTGGGAAAACCTAAGTCTTCCAAGGGAGGAGATCACCCTTATCCGCCAAGCTATCAATAGGGTGGGAATCAAACATCTAGAATCAAATATCATCAAAGATATACGAAAGCGTGATCGACGACCGCTGATGGCGCTTCTTCTAACATGTCTCCCAAATCTCACCAGAATATATGCACACGTGCCGCAGTCTGATCCCGTTCTCAACGCAGCTCTCATGCAAATATTAGATTGTCAGAGTGGCAGCAATCCATCAGCACTTCTTAGCAAGCTGAGCGAACTTTATGTATTTGGCGAAGTGGACGTTCCTACCCGTGACCCCGTGAATTATGAGCTCCTTCCAAGAGCCGATCAAACCCTATTGCGCCTAGATGATCTGTGGCCCGCATTTCATTTGACAGGGCTGCGGACACTCTCACTTTATGGTCTAGATACAGCGAACGCAGCCTGTCGACTTGGAGCCAGTCCTGCTATGTCTCGGCTGAAACACTTATCCATAATCGGCGGCTTCGATTCCAGCTGCACGTATTCGGATCTCCAAGCTTTGCTCACTTTACCAGAAGCCTTTTCCAGCTTCTCATTATACGTACAAAATTATGCGTTTGGTTCAAGTGGAGATGATATGATATCAAGTGCAGGCCTTTGGAAAATCCTAAAAAAAGCAACAGAACAGCCTTGAATGCCTCGATATTTATCGTGATGCAGAGCATACGAGGCTTTTCATGAGCCAAGGCCATTTTGGTCCTCTCCATTCCTTTTCAAGCCTGAAAAAGCTTTGTATCCAAGCAGAAGTCTTACTTGGTAGCTTCTGGGACCGGCCGAACGCCCCCTACGGCTTGAGAGACCGGTTGCCATGCAATGTCCAGTCTCTTACACTCTATGGCGGTAGAGGGTTCTTCCACATTAGCAGTATAGGCGTGCACCTGCAAGAAGCACTGGGCAGCGGGATATTCTCGTCCCTAACTTCGATTGAACTAGAGGGTTTCTATGTAGATTCTGAAATCTCGGAAATGTGCCGTCAAACCGGTGTTAGCCTTTCAACGGGACGAAGCTGTCGACATAGAGCCGTTTCAAGAGATTGTCAACTTCGGAAGGAAGGAAGGTGGCCGCAGTTCTTGCAAACGACATACCACATGCGAATGGATGGCCAAGGACGAGCGGTCATGTTTGCTTTCTTCCCTGAGGAATGTCGAGACCGTCGTGAGATATTGTTGCCCCTTGACGACAGCATGGACGCCTGCGAGGAGGTCGCTGTAAAAGAAGGAGACCTTGGTCAATGTACCGGCGACTTGAAACTCCGTATGTTGGACTTCTGGGTGCACAATGGAGGCACTTCGTACATGGTCTTTCAAAATTTCGGACATTCCTCGCTGCTACCGCTTTTTACCTTTGCCATATATTTTACGCATGCCCACGTGTCCCGCGAAAAGGTAGATCATCGGGCGTTATACCAGGCTCTTTGCGATTCGTACAACAACTACGATGTCCGATTCGATCTCTACTTTGTCCCCGGTATAGGTGAAGAAGGTTGTAAAGCTCATTACCGTCAGGAGCGACGCTTTCGTGGGGATTACAAGAAGCAACTCAAGGCATATAAGGAGAGTAGTCGTTAGGATGTTTCTCCAGGGGTGGGAGCTCTGCCCACGATGGTACACGATTATTCTGATACTGGCTTTTACCGAGGGTTGCTGTTTGTATGTACTGAACCAGAATGGAATGGCGATCAGAAAACCTTATGGTCTGTGCAATTCGACCCGGTCCGACAGGCAGAAAATGGTACAGAGTCATCGGATGAAGGAAATGCCCACCTTTATTGTATCCAGAAGCACCCAATTAACGAGAGCGGCCGCTGGTATGAAGGTTATGATAGCGAACGCCCGATTGACCGATGGATATCCGATATAGCATGTTGGCATAGGGAGGAGTTGAGGGGGCCCTGGCTGAAAGCAACACGAAGAGGCTGGCAGAGTTGGTGATAGTTAGTCGGTATTTCCTAACATCAATGGATGTACGAGGTAGTTTCATTTGGTCATTAACCCAAAATGATTTATATGTCATGATTCACTCTGCGCAGATCAGACAGTACGTATGGCATCTTCCGCCCTCAACTTCTCATAGAATGCTTTTCCCGTCATATCTATTAACATGTTTTTCCCAAGCATCTATTGCAGTTTCACAAATCATTTTACCAAGCTCTAGGATAAACCAGAAAATATGTAACACACGATACAATATAACAACTAACGGATCAAGGACGATCCTCACTCCAATCAAAATCATACTTGACTGTAATAGACATATGAGCAGAGTCATTCATAAGTTTAACGTTATCCATATCCCTCTTATACGAGTTGGGCTCACTGTGAGCCGAAACGGTCTCCCGGCACAATTGGGCATTCCGACTGCCCTCATGCGCGTCTAGCTGCTAGAACGAACGACTTTTGCTCTGCAACCTATCTCGATGTTTCCTTATAGAAGCTGATAGCGAAAAGCTGCCGAATAGTCGCTCAGCAGTGGACCCGAGAACAAGCTTCCTGGTTCTTCGGAGCAGCGCGTTAAGCGTGGGTAGACATGCGCAAACAATGCCGATGCAGGACTCAATGGTAGACCATAAGTATACGTCGCCCATGACCCAGTTGATGTCGGGGTTCGTCGCGAGTAAGGTCAAGTGATAAATACAACCCATACTTCCGACGGAGACGCTGTACATAGCGATTAGCTTGTGTCATGGTAGCAAACCTATATAGGCCACTCTTACAACCCACCTAAGAGGAAGATACCACAGATCAGTACCTTCTGCCTCGGGCGTATTTGGAGTCTAGAGATAATCGGAATCAGAACTAGCAACGTGATAACATCTGTGAAGACGTTTGTTGCCGTGTTGCCAGGGTAGAATGCACACAGATTAATGATGCACTTTCCTCCCGACGGATCAGCAAACTGCGTATAGAAGTATGAGATAGCGGCTTGCAGGAGCATGAGAAGGTAATCGTGCAGCAAACGCCATGACCGATACTGAGGGCCAGACAGACTCACATCACCCAGTTCATTCCAAAGATTCGACGATAGAGGATAATCGATACTTTGATGGAGGGAAGGAGAGCCAGATAGTAGATGGTACACGAAATTACTACCAAATAGGGCATCATCAATACAGATCTACTTTTAGCTCTTATTTAAAAATCTATGACATATTGCAGTACAACGCTTTAAATGTGTCAACATGACTTAAGCGCACGCCACAAAACTTCCTCGCACCTAGAGACAGGGAATAACACTACAAATCTAGTTTAAGCTTAGTCCAGCCAAGGTAGTGCAAGGACGAGAGTAACGTCAACCCTTGGTTTAGTACCACTACTCGACAAATGGATTGAGGCAGCCTAGCTAGGGCTCGTACAGTAACTTTAGCAGTTGTTCGCATGCTTCAATACATTAAATAAACTTTTCCCACTCATTGAATTCCCATTACCTCATATCCAATGTTCAGAGGTATATACAAAGCGATACCCCTCTATGAAGTAGCGTGGAATGCGGACTAATCTATAAAGCTCCTTCTCGAGCCAAGAAAAGTTGGCCCAGGAATGCCTAGTTTACAAAACTAGTACAGTCGACGTAAATCACATCAATCTCTCATGGATGTCGTCTTCAAAATTGCCCGGTTGGGAGCTGTTCTCATTCTCTGTCGCTTTGTCTGGAATTACTTCCAATCCCTATTGAAGTCGTTTCCTGGACCATTTTGTGCCAAATTCACCAATTTATGGCGTTTTCAAGACGTGTTCAAGGGCCGCTGTGATATCACACATAATAAACTTCACCGAAGATATGGACCTGCAGTTTGCATAGGTCCTAACGTGTTAAGTCTCTCTGACCCTACATTAATCAGCCAGGTGTATTGTACCAGAGATCCGTGGGTTAAGGTGAGTAATAAACTTATCTAGGATTCGCAACATATATATGCATGGTTTGATAAGAAGTACCTACCTCTAATTCCTTGTTCAACTCGCAGAGCGACCTGTACAATGTGAACGACTCGGTAGTGTCCGGCGTTCGTATTAAGAATCTCTTCTCGCATCAAGACGAACAATGGCATGCCAAGTACATCCGACCAGTCAAGAGTCATTATTCCATGACCAGAGTACAAGAACTTGAGCCCGGCGTCGACATAACCATCAACATTTTCTGGAAAAGTTACGAGAGAGATTCATCTCAACAGGCAGCATCTGCGAGATGAGCAAGTACATCAACTACTGTAGGCTTCGACACTCGCATGCCAGACACCTCACTGATACCGTCAACCTCTAGTTACATGGGACTCCATGAGCCAGCTCAGCTATTCCAAGTCTATTGGTATGTTAGCAGCGGGAAATGATCGCTTTGGAATCATGGAAGTATCTACCAAGTCTCTGGACTATTTTGCATCGGTAAGTGTATAAGCTTAGGGTGAGGAATCTCGCGCACAAGTCCTTCAGGCACTCATTCCTCATTGCCGCAAGTGGGTCAAATCCCAAAGTTGGATTTACTTCTAGATAAAAACCCTATTCACCGTTTGGGGCCTCCTAGTTTTGGGTGGTCCGTGCAATTCAGCGCAGAGCAGTATCAAAAGCGCTGTGCCGAGGGGAAACAAGCTCAGAATGGCTTCGAGGATTTTCTAGATCGGTACATTGAGGCCAAGAGCAAGGTTCCGGACATCGTAGACGACAATGTCGCCGAGATGTACCTGATCACCAATCTAGTAGCGGGTAGCGAGACGGTAGCAAGTACCATTTGCGCGGCAGTCTATTATGTGCTGAAAGACAGAGCTGTGTACAACCGTCTGCAGGAAGAGCTTCGTGGAGCTAATCTATCTGCACCTCCCCAGTGGAAGGAGGTTCGGAGTCTCCCTTATCTCGACGCTGTCATGCGGGAAGCTATGCGTGTCCATCCAGGTGTTGGTCTCTTGCTCGAGAGAATTGTTCCAAAGGGTGGATTTACGCTACCTGACGGTCGCTTTGTCCCAGAGGGCACCACTGTGGGCATGAATCCCTGGGTCATGAATCGTGACAGTACCATTTTCGGGTCTGAGCCTGATTCATTCATGCCTGAGCGGTGGCTTCCGGCCGAGGGCGAAATTGACGAGGCGTACCAGACTAGATCCTCGAAGATGAAAAGTACAGACTTTACCTTTGGTGCAGGACCCCAAGTATGTCTGGGAAGGCACATCTCCCAGTTGGAGAGTTACAAATTTGTTGCGACGCTATTCACGAACTTTGATGTGAGTGTTCTTTTGCCTATTTATATGGTGTGAGACACAATACCTGATAAGCTCTTCTCCAGGTTGAACTCGAAAATCCTGACCGTGAGTGGAAAATAACCAATTCCTGGCTTGTGAGACAGGAAAATATTCCAGTTATAATTAAGGAAAGAAAGCGTTGAACCCTAACACTTCTTCAATGCAGTGGACTAGAATCTAGACTGCCTTCTTGTTACAGCCGCAACTTGATTCGTTTCGGGAGCGGTCTTCATCCACTTCTTTGTCTGATCGTACTCATAAGTCTGAACCAGTGGAAACAATCTGATCACGGCCCAGAGTGCTGAGATTTAATAACTTAGCAGTCAGTAGCATCAACTTGGGACTCAAGATTGCAGCATCACTGGACCACATGGGGGTTGCTATGTCTAAGTAACTACGAGGACCAATCATATCAATGATATATCGAGTACAAACTTGAGATTCTAAATATAGACAAGCTCATACAAAGGGCTTTGTGTGCTACATAGAGCTTCTATCAAATAAAGACTCGATAGTGCGCTGCTTGGCAATACCGGAAGCATGGACAAACTGATCATACCCTGAAAATTTCTTCTATGCAAGACCAGGATGTTGCGTCGGTTAATGAATTCCTATATCAACAGCCTAAGTTGTGGTCTACATGTTGGGCAAGTTACTATAGTTCTGATATTCCCAAACCAACACAATACATATACTCGGTTTGTTCCGTACAAGGGTATCTATCCAGTCACGCCGGCCGTACGTAGTAGTAGTACTACTAGTACCTTTCCAGAACGCTCCTAATTTGCCTCTTAACCTATACTTCATATTAGGTTCCAGAAGTAAAAGTCGATGCCATATCAATCATTAATTCACTAATTTTTAAAACGAAAAAAAAAAAAAATTAGAAAGTTAAATATTTGCATGATTGGCCGAACAAAGTCCGCCGAACATATGCCGAACGGCACGGAGAACAATGCCATCATTTGAATGAGCGGCAAGGACTGTAGATATAGTACGGAGTAGTGCTCACCAACCAACCTCTTTGTCCTTCCTTAATTTAGTTGTAGTCTTTCATCCCAAATAGGGCCTTACTCCCACATAACTACAACGTAGTTGAAGGACATCTTCATGCATAAAAATATGGCAACGCGATTCTCTAGAATTCTAGAAAACGTTCCTATCAGGCAATGCACATGCGATAAGAAAGCGGTCAGCATGCGGGGCGCGGGGCGAGCGAACCGATTCGTTCGGACCGACAAGGCGACCAGAAGATTCTCCAGAAGTGTCATCACCCTCGGTCTCGATTTCTTATCGCACGACATACGCGAGGGTCGACTCAATTGACCCCTGACCGAGTTTATACCGGAACCAGTAAGGGAAAGATTTATTCATTATCATCTTTAAATACCGGCTAGCATCGTTACGATTCGTTCGATTTCCAAACTCCTAGAATTCAACTTCCGCTTCATCTGTTAATTGTTCAAATCCCCGGGCCGCCCCTCACTCACCCACTCAACCTCCCACCATCACCCAACCACATATCATCAGTCCTTCCCACTCCATAAACAACAATAGAACATATACAAGAAGAATGACCGACACAGCCATTCAACCAGACCCGGCCCTAACCCAATTAAATGGAGGCACCTCGAACCTAAAAAGCATGGCGCCCCATCTCCCCTCCCCACAAGCGCAATGCACCTCCACACCCTCCACACAACAGCCAACAACATCTTCCTCTCTCTCAGAAATTATCGCCCAATGCCACCACAAAGTGCACACCTTCCTCGCCGAATCCCACCCCCCTGATTCCCTCCTTGCCGCCGTCCAACGCCAAACTCGTATCTCGCTCGACGTCGCCGCAACAGCTCTCTCCCGCTACAGCCTCCCAGAGCTCGCCCTCTCTTATAATGGTGGAAAAGACTGTCTGGTCCTCCTGGTGCTCTTCCTCGCCAGTCTGCACCCGCACCCACCACCCGAAAACGGCGGTCTCAAGTCCATCCCGGCGATATATGCTCTACCGCCGGACCCCTTCCCCACAGTCGAGGAGTTCGTCCAGTGGTCGTCGAATGCCTACCATCTTGATATTATAAAGTACACGACGGAGCCGCCGAAGTCGACGCTCAAGTCGAGTTTTGCGCACTACCTATCCCTCCACCCGAGTGTGAAGGCGATTTTCGTCGGCACTCGCCGGACGGATCCCCATGGCGCTAAGTTGACTCATTTCGATCGGACGGATAGTGGTTGGCCCGATTTTGTTCGTGTCCACCCTGTGATTGACTGGCACTATGCGGAGATCTGGGCTTTCATCCGCCAACTGGGCTTAGAATACTGCCCTCTCTACGACCAGGGATACACGAGCCTCGGTGGTCAGACAGATACTCACCCGAATCCCAAGCTTCGTGTCGACATTACGGCGGGAAACGAAGCCACTAAACACTACCGACCAGCATATGAGTTGACTGAAGACCTGGAGGAGCGGCTGGGGCGCAATTAAGCCCCTTGACCGCCGGCGTGGAGTGTTACCAGAACTGTCAAACTGCTCATGCGGAAGTTCTTTGTTTGATCCGATTTTTGCATAGAGAGCGACCTGAGAAGATTGGATGACATTGCGTAATGGATCCCACTTTTTATCCCCGCCCTCTTGCATGGCTTTCTCTCTTGCTCTTATATCTCTATGTATATGGTAGAAGAATAGATTTCTTATATCTCTGTGGGCTGCTGTGTGCAAGGCCGTGAGTACAAACTCCATTAAACATTTACCTAACCTTTATCATGTTGAACAAAGGGATACGTCTCTAAGTCAGATACCACAAATAGCAATTCTCAACCATACCCATCGATCTCCTTTTTATGGTCTTCATGTGCACAGGCCAAGCGTAAAAGATATAGATCTTAAAAGCCATGCTGTCGACCGCCATAGAATGGGCATGTTGTCAAAACAAATCAAGACCAGGAAGCAATCGGCAAAATCAAAAGACGACCGCAAGGCGGTGACAAAACAAACAAAATTGACAGAACAAACATGGGAAAACAAGGTGCAAAATGACGTGCTTTTGTAAACATTGTAACCTATAGCATATGCTGGCATGTAGTCATGGAGCCGAATGTGGGGATAAGCCCAGAAGGAATCCATAAGTGACTCAGTGGACGGATCGTGGAGATTTTACAACGATCTCCCTGCGGGACGGAATAGGCGACAAAGACTCGGCTTTGATACTCTCCTTCCGGGGGCTGGTTGGCCCAGATTGGGACTCGGCACAAGGAGAGTTGGGCAAAGCAGTCCTAGACGAGACTGTCCTAGACGAACCGCCAGAGATAGAATCCATCCAGCCTACATGACTAATGGGAAGCCGTCCACGATAGACAGGCGTATGATCAAGTGTCGCTGGGCTGTTCCCGGCGGACCAGGTGTTGAGGTGTACATTACTGGGCTGGTTCTTCATCACAGGATACCTGTTTGCTCGTCAGCCGGGTTCATATCTTGTACACACTTGTCGATACGTACGGAGGAGAAATGGACGTCGCAGGAGTCCAGGTAGGGCCCATCCCCACGGGTGAGGGATAACTGACTTGGGAGCTGGGGCTGAGATGGGACGCAGTCTGTTGCAGACGATGCAAAGAAGGTGATGGGGTTGAGCCTTGGACTACCTCAACCGAGTAATTGTACTCCCCGGCTCGATAAGCCCGGCGCTCATTACTTTGCTGTTTGAGCAGCTTCTGAGCCTTTGTGTCTGCAAAGCGAAGGAGTAACTTGACGCTATCTTTTGCCACAGCATTGTGGAATTCGACCAACACCTTCTCCGCGATCTCGCGGGTCTCGAATCTGGGCAAGCTGTTAGGGTTCAACAACATAATGGAATGGGCTGGGACACCTACCGGGCAAATCCAACTTCCTTACTCACGCCCGTCTTTTCATCACGGCTAATCTTCTCGGACACGACACGGTAGGGCTCAAAATGACGACGAAGATCCTGAAAAGAAACTTTTGTTAGCCCGATAACGATGGAAAGATCAGTCGGCTCACGGCTTCAGTCCAGTCGTTCGGAATGTTGGTGCAGTATATATTGGTGGATGTTTTGTCTTCCAGATCCTTGAGACGCGAGTTACGAGATTTCTTAGCCATATTAGCCATGATCGCCGTCCATTGAGTATCGCAAGTGGTGATTTACCTGAGCAAAGCTGGCTTGATAGCCAAGATAGAAGAACCCTCGAATGCAATTCTCGCAGGATTCGAAGTTGTAATACTGCACAAAGCCAAAGCTACCGATTCTGTGAGTGAGAAGGTGGGAACAATGGACACGTCACATACCCTTTGCAAAGACCCGTATCCAAATCCACGATTGCCTTGCAACGATCAATCTTTCCGAAGCGGGATGCATATGCGTACAGCATCTCATCGGTCGTCTCCGGCAGGAAGCCTCGGATGTAGACATTGGTGATACCCTCACGATTCTCGAGGCATTTAGCGAGGGTAAGATCAGACGGATTGGTCCACATTGCAGGCACTGCCCGTGGAATTGGAGGATCCTGCTGTGTCAGACTCTCCAGGTCTTGAAGAATGTAACCGTTGGGAGTCTTCATCATCTGAAAGGGAAGGCTGAGGCTTTCGCTCCTCTGCTCCTCATTACAGTTCACCAGATAAGGAAGGGTCGGGTACGGAAGAACATTTGGGTACATATATGGCACCTGAGGTATCTGCGGTATCTGGGGCATCTGATCCGGAAGAAAGACAAAAGGGTATTTTGGACGCTGCGCTTGAAGGTTTAAAGCTCCGAGCAGGGGGGTCAAGACATCACCCGAGTGCTGAGGAGACATGGTAGCGTTGTAATGACTGACAGCTTTCAATAGGAACTGAGCTGATGGCACACAGACCCTCTGAGGGATGTTCCGATGTATAGTTGTACGTGTTTGATAAGCGACTAGCAATGGGTCATTCGAACAACGTAGGGGACGGGGGGAACAGGAATCAGGTTAAGCAGCAAGGTAAGAGTGAAGAAGAGGAAGAAGAGGTGGAGGAGAAGATGAAGGAGGAACGAACAATAAGCGGGAAATTCTCCTTCATGTCGTCATTCGCTATAAGGAAAGAGTGTGATGTCTTCCATACATGGCAGGCACCGCCGTGCTTGTTGGGGAAGGAACTTACAGTCAACACCAAAGTAGGTCGCAGTTTGAACGATACTGGAAAGCGTGACTTGACAACCTGTTGATAGTAGGTACCTAGGTACTACTACTAGTGGTACTTACCAGATACCCGATACTACTAGTTAGTATTTGCTAGGGTTCAACTTGCAATGATAATACTGGAGAATATAAATTAATTCAATCGTTGGTTAAATCTTCACTAGGTACTAGTTCTATCGCGTCACATGTACATAGAAAGCAGGTGAGTTACAGTCTCCAACTGTATATCATTGGTTTTTTTTGTTATGAGTATGTACAGTATCTTAGTAAGTTGCACAGCCCTGGCAACGATATATGGTAAGCGTCATTGTCAACAGTCATATTTTCCACCACGCAGTCTTGGGATTTAAATTGAAGGGTTACTTTAACCTCTTTTGATTTCGTGTAATCGTAGGATTCATACAAGGCTGAGCGAGGTCTCCGAAGGAGTCGTGAGCTCAGGGGGTAGCGAGCTCCTTCGTATACGCATTTGTTCAGCATTCTATCTAGTCGATTATCTAATTCGGTCCGTCGAACGAATTCCTATCTAAGCGAGCTACTCGCCGAACCGTTCGGGGAACCATCAACTAGTTCGGATATGCGTCGAACCTGTTCGCGATACCAGCGAACCATGCGAAATCACACTCTAATATAAGGATTATTACCCGAAGACGATGTACGCTTTTTCTCTCTCTTTAGTTTATTATACTTATGTATGTATAGTAGAGAATGATGAGAAAACGAGTTAATTCGAGTCATGTTTATCTGAAGACGTGGATAATCATCCTGAAAAAGGTAGATCTCCAACTTGTACATACATGTCCCTCATACGTCAGGAAAAGCTGGCTATAACAAAATCGGATGAAAACCGAGCGAGAAAAAAAAACAAAGGAGAAGAAGAAGAAGAAGGGTAAAATGAGTGATGAAAGAGAGGCTAGGAAAAGAAATCCATGAAAAGAAAGGTACGTCGATCCTGTACGTTGGCGTCAGGATGCATCAACTTCGATGTATAAACTATATAAAGCCTCGAACAGGGTCTAAGGATTAGTCTCCCTTACAGATCCGGCCCTTGCCCACTAAACTCAAGTACGTTAGGACTGGCTTTCACGTGAGGATGTCGGCTCTCGGAGCTCCGCAGCCATTCCCGAAGAGGACTTCCCCGCATGGAGATGAACGGCGAGAGCGGAGAAGCTGGGGCGTCGAGAGCAAGTCAGACCACTTGGAGTTACCAAATCTTGTGCCTGAGAGGTCCCGATGCTCCCCTGATGGGTGGATAGCTCGGGTAGCAACGGACAAAATACCTCGTTTCCTTCTTCCCGTCGAGTCCCATTCACCCTCACCATTCTGCCTACCGTTGCAGCTGAAGCCAGCATTTGAACTTTATTACCCGGCTTGAAGGACATGGGTTGCACTGGAAGCCAAATATAACTATAGCTGTCCCCCCATTCCTTTTTCTCATCGTCCGCACACCCGACGGAAATACCCATACTTAATTTACCAGTCACCTGGTGCTCTGTACAGTACACAGGCTTGAGTTGTCAAGATGAGCATGTCGCGTGCGCTATCCCTTCCTCTGCGGAGGGTGTCTACCACTTCTCCTGTTCTACGTTTGTCGCCATCGGCTTTCACAGCTACTAGAGCATTCTCGAGTTCATTGCGACGTGACGATACATGGGGGTTTATCGGGCTAGGGCAAATGGGTATGTTCATATTTTGTTTGGTTCAGCCGTAATCCCTATGCTTTCCCCGACCACCCAGAATGGCCGACGTGTATATTGGGGGGCACTAGGCCACAGCGCCTATGTTTACTTAACACTCTTTACCTCCTTACACCCGAACTCATTGAATAAACTACCTCGTTCTTCACGCCTTTTACCTTTTCTAACCGTATGCACTACCGGGAACTAAACATCATTGTCTCCACAGGCTACGCCATGGCCAAGAACTTACGCGCTAAGATCCCCGCATCCGACACACTAATCATCCGCGATGTAAACGAAAACACCGCCAAAAGATTCGTCGAAGAGAACCAAGAAACCATCCGGAACAGTGGAGCTAAGGAAGACACCTCCAAGGTGCTTATCGCTCAGAACGCACGAGAAGTAGCGGAACAATCGGTAAGTTTCGCGTTGTGTCTTATTATCCCCCACGCCCCGGGAACAATTCATGCCACAAGAATCCGCACAACCTTTGCTTAAAAGGAGTCTCCATTATGGACCGGACAGTGCTATAAATACACCCATGGACCCGACTACTTTCATTGGCAAAAGGGACAAAAAAAAAGAAGAAGAAAAGACAAGGATTGGCATCATTTGATTAGTTTCTAGTGGGATT